AACTGACTGAAGGGATTCAGACATGTAGTTTCGGGAAAGGTTAGGATTTGGGAGGTTACATCTGATCAAAACTGGAGAAAATTGGAGATAGAGCGACAGCTTTCAAAGTCAAAGGGCTTTTCGAAGAGATGTTGGGAGGAGGCAGAAGGACAGCATTGAAGTGAACAATAATAAGCCAGCATATGAAAGGGAGGCAATGTATCGGCGACTTTTTTGTTAGTCGAGTTGCCACGTATTATAATTAAAGACACCCTGCAATTCTGTAAATACATTGAAGAAAGGTCAATGAAAGGTTAGATTTTTGGCGACAAAATGTTTCAACTTATTTACTGCATGGAATAACTGACTATGTCAAAGTCTATTTATATAGCTTCTGCACAGTAGCACGTTATTCCAAATTTCACAGTACTTTTTTATTCAATAAATCAAAAGTGCTCATTGAACAGTGACTAGCATCAAGAACTCTAGAAGACTAGGATGCAGTGCAATACAGTTCACTGACAAGCACCATGACAAAACATCAAGTATTAAAACATTAGATGTGAATGAAGCCTTTTTGTGTCTTAAGTGTTAAATCATGAAATTGTGCACTAGAGTAGTAATCCAGGGCAGCACAGAAGCTCAGTGGTTAGCACTACTGCTTCACAGTGGTAGGGATCGGGTTCTATCTCGCCTCAGGTGACCGTGTGTGAAGTGTGCACATTCTCCTCGTGTCTGTGTGGGTTTCCTCTGGGTGCTCCGGTTTCCTCCCACAACCAAAGATGTGCAGGTTAGGTGGATTGGCCGTTCTAAAATTGTCCATAATGTCCAAAGATGTGCAGGCTAGGGGGCTTAGCCAAGGGAAATGCAGGTTTACAGGGAATAAGGTTAGGGCAGGGTGGGTCTGGATGGATGCTTTTCAGAGGATTGGTGTGGACTTTACGGGACAAGTGGCCTGCATCTGCACTGTAGGGATTATTGGACTCTAGTATTTGTACCGAACTAGTACATTTCTGCTTTATCCTATTTATCTGGAGATTCACGTAATGATACCATGCAATTAGGAAAGAACATTGCTCGCCTGGAATTTACACACTGATATTAATAACAATGGCAATGGCAAACTGAAAAGAATTATCAAGGACGAAATGATGTTCCAGGAGAAGAATAAGAGAAGATATGTAGTACAGGCAGTTCTCTTTGCTCAAACAAAATTTAACCCCCAACATTTGATTGCACCTCTATGAGCTTTTCTGCTTCACACAAGTTCCTTCAAAACTTTGTTTCCACTTCATACAAGTAAACAATGAAAACCAGAACATCCGAACTGTTTTCAGGAAACTGAGTGCACCAGCATATTTTATTTAAAAAGAGACAGGAAATCTGGACACCCTACCCATGGGGCAGAAAGAATATTCTGCTCCCAGTCCAATGATGCTACGAGGTTAAATCTCAGGCAGGAAAGGACAGTAAGTATGCTAATCACAGGACAATGCCCAGTCAACCTGTGGAGATCGCAACACTGATGAGTCACTGAACTGCCCCAAAGGTTGCTGAACGCTAAGGGTCATCTTACTCCAATTCACTGTGCCACTTTAAGTATGCTCAAGTCCATGAAATGCAATCCTCAAAATACATTTATACAAGCTATGAACAGCTTTGCAAGCCATGGCACCTAAGCATTCAAAAGGAAATGTAATAACTTTTTGCCTCTGATTATTGATTATAACCCTACTCTATAACTATAAAAACATACATATGTAATAGGAGCAGGAGTAGGCCATCTGGCCCCTCGAGCCTGCTTCACCATTCAATAAGATCATGGCTGATCTTTTCACAGATTCAGCTCCACTCACCCACCTTCTCACCATAACCTTTAATTCCCTTACCGTTCAAAATTTTCTTTGCCTTAAAAACATTTAACGAGGAAGCCTCAACTGCTTCACTGGGTCAGGAATTCCACAGATTCATAACCCTTTGGGTGAAGAAGTTCTTCCTCAACTCAGTCCTGAATCTGCACCCCCTTATTTTAAGGCTATGCCCTTTTGTTCTAGTTTCACCCGCCAGTGGAAACAACCTTCCTGCTTCTCACATATCTATCCCCTTCATAATTGTACATGTTTCTATAAGATCCCCCCTCATTCTTCTAAATTTCAATGAGTACAGTCCCAGTCTGGTCAATCTTTCCTCATTAGTGAAACCCTCTCAATTCTGGAATCTACCTAATGAACCTCCTCTGCATCTTCTCTCTCAAGTAAGGAGACCTGAATTGTATACCATACTCCAAGCATGGCCGCACCAGCTCCCTCTACAGATGCAGCATAACCTTCCTGTTTTTAAACTCTAGCCCTCTTAACAATTTTGGTAATACTATGCCTGAAAGACAAATTTATACAAGCATCTTCCCATTTTTAAGGTGATCAATGCCCAACCACCAATCTTCTATCATTTCTCAGTATTTCAACAATAAAATCATGCACGTTTTCCCTGCTCCAACCTTCTGCCCCTTCATCTGGAAAATCTGAATTCCTTCATCGGGGTATAGTTCCTCAGCCAAGTGACCATTACTCAATTTATGCTCAGCTCTCTAAAACAAGATCTCATTACAGGGAATACAATAACACACGTAACTTTCAAGGACCACTCACAAAAAAAAGTGCACAAGGGAAGAAAGTTAAAGCTTTTATTGCATTTTATTCATCAAATATGTTTTATTCTGTCCAGCTCCAGCAATGATATACTGGGTTTTTCATCAGTCTACAACACTGGTTTCAAAATATAAAGATACATGGACCTTGGCTGGGAGGTGGGTAGTGTCCCTGCCTCGAGGCAAGGAGCTCCAAATTCAAGTCACACCCCTGGATGTGATTGCCAAGGAAGGGGTGTTCATAATGTGGCCAAACAGGTTGAGCGTCAAACCTGCAAATCCTTCCAACACATGACAACGACAGGTGGTAACAAGAGAGATTCCTGGTCAGCGGTGTGAAGGAAAACATTGGAGTCTTTGCCGCTACTATCTGTAGCTCCAGACTGCAACATGCATATTGAAAGGGGCATGTTGCTACATTAGCTTGACTACCTGAGTGAATGACTGTTGGTGCATTTTTATATTTAAAGTTACCAGCACATTACTTCTGAAACAGTATAAGTGTCTGTTATGCCATATTCTTTTTCTGCAGCTTCGTTTAAGAAGTTGATTGGCACTCAGTCAATATATGTTGGTGTTTACTTGATTACGTCAAAGGATCTTGGAGGAATCTGAACATTCATAAGGATCCAAAATATTAGAGTCTGAAAACCATTAACTTAGGAAGGACACTTAGCTGATCAGATATCAGGAAAAGTTCCAGGATACACTTTCTTCACTCCCACCAATGTCTGTCCAAAGTTGGGTGATGTTAGCTGCAGCTGTTGAGTAAGGGAGAAAAAATGCCATGGTTCCCAGCCCGGACTGTAATCAAACAATCTTCTCTTAGAACTCCAAGTGTATCGGCAATGTGCAAGCTTGATTCTGATGCTCCACGCTATGATAGATCTTCAGTTCCCATCTTTAGGGCTCACAGGTGAAAGCCAGTCATTTGGCAACATGCTGAAGCACAAGTGTCTCCAGAGGAACTTTTCCAAGTGATGCACTTGGAAAAGAACAAGACAGACAATTGGCGATGCTCTGCAAAATCCCTTTGTGACCAACTCAAAAATGCTGCACTTTTATAGAACCAGAAATAGAATTCCCAAAGTGAAAAAGCAAAGATTATTTGTGAAAAAGAGGAACATGGATGGTCTGTCACTGTACTGACCAAAAACAGGATGTAAAAAAGGAACAGTAGAACACCAAGCTTAACGTGGGTGAGGAAGGTGTTATCATGGAAATCTCAAAGCCAACTGAGACAGCCTCGTATTGTAACTGCATGCCACATCTGAAAGCCCAGACTTTTTTGGCATCACTACAAATGCTGGTGTTGTCTCAGATAGTAAGAACTGCTGATGCTGGAGTCAGAGATAACACAGTATGGAGCTGTAGAAGCACAGCAGGCCAGGCAGCATCAGAGGAGCAAGAAAGTTGACATTTTGGGTCGGGACCGTTCTGAAGAAACTTTCCTGCTCCCCTGATGCTGCCTGGCCTGCTTTACTCTTCCAGTTCCATACTGTGTTATCTCTGGTGTTGTCTCTCCTTTTATTTCCCCTTCAATCGGAACTCAGATAAAAGTGGTCTGTGGTGCACTGATGACTTACCTAAGCTCATAAAACTGCATCTTTGGTTGACGACAATAAAACCACACAACAACTGCCCAAGATTCTGCAGCACAGAACTCCTTTAACAACTGCAATAAAGATGACAAAGAATTGCAGAACTTGCTGAAATAGCATACCCTGAAAAAGCTTTCAGTACTGTACTAAGAAATTGATGAATGACAGAATTCGCACTGAAGGACAAACCCTTCAATAACTGCCAATCTCCCGCCAGTGAGGAACACCATCTATTATAGCTGCTCAAAAAAAATCAATCCCTGGGTGAGGACAGGATTAAGACAATTCCAGTATCACTAACATGAAAGGCACTGAAGTTTCATGCTGGTACCAAAAGCCCTCAAAATGAGTTCAGCAAATAGAACAGTGCTCAAAGAAACAGAATGAGATGCAAGTCATTGGGCATGGATCCAGCATAGTAACGCACCACAGATTCTGAATCCCAACACTGTCAATGCACTCACTATCAAATATTTCTCTCACCACCCCCAGCTAGCCTTTACACCAGAATGTTATCGGATTCAGAACAAATGGAAGCATATTGCTTAGAGTGGATGAGACATTCTGACCAGACTAACAGACAAAAATGCTGAGTGTATAATCTAATTATCAGTGAGAAAGTGCCCAGACAAGCACAATCCAGCCTTGGAGGAGTGTGTGACTATGTTGGCATATCTTTAAAAAAAAATTCACAGGATCTAAAAACTGTGGGAACTCTTACTTCCTTCAATCTCCCCTTGTTCATAAACTGCAGAGGCTTTAAAAGCCCTTACCTGTATCACAATCAGTTGATTGATTTTGCTTACTCTCCTATCCAAATCACCTCAGGACTGTCTTGCACTACCCTCCTGCACGAGATGTGGGGTAACAAAAAAAAACGACAGCTCAGACCCTATTTCAAAAAATGTCAACGATCTAGTATACAGAAATGGAACATACAGCTGAGAAAAGTATACCCAATTGGGATATGCAAACGTACTGCATGGTTTCCACATTTAACGCTGGAATGTGGGCAAACAGAACATTTTATTTATAAATTTGAATTTAGCTAGTGTTAGTTCATCAGATTTTGGAACGTGCTTAATTGCAAACATGCTACAAAACATGACCTAATTTTCTTCCGAAAACAGCCCGATTCAGCATTTGCAGCCAGTAAAGTTAAGTTTAAATTACCCAACATTGGTGTCTATGTGTGTTTCCAGCACCAAGTTAGACCAGTTGAAACAGCAACACAAAAAGGACTTTTTTTTTCTGGGTGGGCTGCATAGAGAAATGCGTAAAACAGATGGGGTCAACAAGGTCTCTTCCAGTTCTCCCACAACCTTATAGACGTTTATAAAATCATGAGGGGCAGGGATAGGGTGGGTGAGTCCAAACCTAGAGGGCATATGTTTAAGGCGAGAGGGGAAAGGTTTAAAAGGGATCGAAGAGGCAACTTTTTCACACAGAGGGTGGTGTATGTATGGAATGAGCTGCCAGAGGAAGTGGTGGAGGCTGGTACAATTACAACATTTAAAAGGCATCTGGATGGGTATATGAATAGGAAGGTTTAGAGGGAAACAGGCCAAATGGGACTAGATTTATTTAGGATATCTAGTTGGCATGGACAAGTTGGAGCAAAGAGTCTGTTTCTGTGCTGTACATCTCTATGATTCTATAACTAAGAGGATACATTTTAATTCTGGAGAAAAAATGCATTTGAGAGAGATTATACAATGGAGATCTAGGGAAGAGAAACAAAGGCAGAGGCTTCAGAGAAAAATGAATGGTTGCAGGATCAGCAAAACTGCAACAAAGGTTGAAAGAGCAAGAGATGTTTTTTTTTAAAAACAGCATGCATGCAAGGTACCAAAAGAAATCTGGCAAACAACAGTAGGATTCAATATTTGTGCAAACTTCACTGGACACGACTGAATTAAAAATAGATGAGATTAGAGCACACTACTAGAGGGCAGGGGAGATAATTACACCAACGTCAATTGATAACATAGTAAGTGAAATATACATCTACACCTCCCTCAAGTTAACCAGCAAGGTTTTAAGTGACTCCTTACTACTGAGCCAAAAATCTATTCAACTATATAGGCATCACTGCCAAGCTTAAACCTGCCCTTAAACACCCACAAACCACAATTTCCAGCTGGTTAAAATCAGGGTATGAGCGGAGACTTGAAGACTAGAGTTGCTCTGATTCTGGGATTAGCACAGGACAATTTGTTAAGCTTCTCAGCCCTGATCTCTTAACAGTAGGGCCTTGATGTAAAATTAGTTCAGAATGAAAAGATCTGAATTTCATTGCAAGGTTTTTGTAATCAAATTTTCTATCACTACAAACTGATCATACGCTAAAAAGGGCACTTGAATGTAATGCTAGATAGAGGGTGAGGGTGGGGGAATATATCCAAAAGTGATTCAGCATCTTTTTTTTGGGGGGGCGGGGAGGAGGAGGAGGAGGAAAGTGCATTCTCAGTTCTCCAGCCACAGTACTTATGAGAAATCCTATTTATCTCAATTTCTCATCAGTGCAGTGCCAGAATTCTAACAATAAAAACAAATCAATCAACAGTCCACTATTGAATCGGTTATGAGCTCAAAATCTCTAATTATGCACCATGCCACAACTCCCCACAACACTGAACTAAACAATGACTATCACCCAAGATAAAAAACAAAACCTCACAAACCAAAGTGCAGGGCATGAAAAGTCAATTTTTGAAATGTCGTCAACAGTTCAGAGTCCATGTTCTTGCTCAAAAATGATCTCCATTTAATTAGTAACGCAACCAGAGGTGATAAGGCGAAAAAAAAGATAGACAAGAGTGTGACAAGGTGGAATGGACTGTTTGGAAAGGTGATGGAAAGATTTATGTGCAACATTCAAGAGGGGTAAATATTTGAAATGCAAAATAATAACAACACTGCAGTAAAAAAGGACAGACTACTTGGATAGTTTTCAAACAGCTGTTAAAATGGGCCAAATGGCCTCATTCTCTGCTATAGCACTGAATTCTCCTGCACTATTCAAGTTTCTTATAATTTAGCACCGAGAAGAGTCACCATTCTGTCAGCTACAGCCAATCCTTGCAATTCAGCTCCCCTTTAACAGAATGCTCTGGGCTCTCATTCTCCAAACATAAGGGCTTAGCCAGCTAATACTTTGCAAACCCAAGCATAAACATCCTTTCATTTTCATTCACTCAACTGAGAACACTATGTTTTTTTATTTAGCCAAAATTCATCGCTTATCAGCAATCCAGGTTCTGAGTGAGAAATTCCAGCACCAAGCAAGCAGTGACTGACCTGAACAAGGACAGTCAGATAAGTAATTTGTAATACACACGCAAAAACAATTGTAAAACAACACAATAAAAAGAGTTTCTTTTTTAAAACCAAACAAAATGCAAATTAAAAACTGCACTCATCAGTTTGTTGTTTCTAGTCAGATTGGAAATATACTTATCTAAAAAGTCTGCAACATTTTGACATCATTTAAAAGGGAAATCATTCATAGTACCCCCCACCTCAGACAGTCTCAGCTCCCTCGAAAAACAGACCTCTCGCTCTCTCTCATTGCACTAGGACAACTCTCTTGTGAAAGCTCTGTTGAGGTTCCAGAGACACATTGTCAACAAATGATCCTCATTCTTAGCTTCACCACCCATTTCCCATTCCCAACTCCCTCCACCAGCCATTCCTTTTTTCTCACTCTCCTGAAACCGATCCTCCTTTACTGTCCCGCCTCCACTCTTCCCCTTCCCCCTTGTCCATTCTTCTCCCCCTCCCACATCCATCCTCTAACCTCCCCCACATCCACCTCCCATATCCATTCTCCTTCTCCCTCCTCCTCCCACATTCCTTCCCCAGCTCCATCGTCCTCC